GAACTGTTGCGCTGCTTTTTCCGTTAATCGGGGAGCGAAGCGAGGTTGGAGGCTGACCTGTGTGAACAAGGTGCTGCTAACCCTGTGATACGAGGTGCTTGAGGGGGGGGCTAAATGTGGAGCTGCAAGCTCACCCTCGCACAACTTGCTGCTGGACAGAGTGTCGGTAGACTGTCTACAGAGTGAAAACTTGGTGTTCAACTGCTGCATTGTCACTACTGCAGCATGAGGAGGGGCCGTCGGTGTATTGAGCTGTTGTAGCGCCGTAGCCCCTCGCTGCGTTCCGTGCTAGTTGTTCCAGCACAACAACTGTTATATGCAGTGTACGGGTGAGCTGAAGGCCAAGCCATCGTGTCAACTGCTCAAGTGTTGGGGCTTAGAGGAGTGATTAGGTTGAAGGTGTGGTGTGAAGGGAATGATTGGACTGCAAGGGAGGTTGTTGCCACAGTTTGGGGGAGTGGCTGAGTCCCGCGGGGGGGGGTTAGTGCTGCGATTTGAAAAGTCATCGGAGGTTTGACTTCAATGGTTTGAACCAGAGTTTTGACCAAGCTGTTACAGTTTCGCCACCATAGCGAGGCCCTCAGGCGATTCAAGACAACAAGGCCCTCTTCCGCGAGTCTGAGAGCACCCTCCTTGGATCTGAGAGTCTCAAAGTTTCTCTTTCTGCCCTTCTTACTCTAAGTCCAGTCCATTGGTTCTGAGAGGAGGGCGGTAGGCGGGATTGCAACCCGTAATCCGCGCCAAGGCCTCTGTGGGAGGTTCGCCCCACCGATTGCGGGAGCTCTGCCGAAACTCAGGAGGAGTTCTGAAGGCAGGGAACTAAAAGATAATTGTTGCTTTCCTTCTATAAACCCAAATTATAGCCCTACCTATACTACCCATTGCATGTTTGACTGAGTATATGGTATGTAGCCCTACTCTGATCTTTTATTTAGCTGTCAGGATAAAACCAGATTAAGTAAAAGAATGTGTGCGCAATCTCAAGTTTCAGTTTATTGATTGCCTGAAAGCAGATCGTGAATAAAAGAGAATTGTATCTGGGGGAAGGCTGGAAGGAAGGTAGCTTGCCTGAGGGTTGACTGGGTCATTGAGACTGGGAAGTCCCCATAAGTTTTGGGAGACCTGGTGCTTTGTTTATTTTGGATTGTGTGGAGCGTCAGACCGTTCTATAAGTTTAGGAGGTCTGATTGCTCTGAAGGTTGGGAAGTCCCTATGAGTTTGGGGAAACCTAGTGCTGTGAGAATTGCCTTGAGGACCAGACTGTTCTATAAGTTTAGATGGTCTGGTTGCTCTGATTTGCGAGGGCTGCTTGTGATTGACTTTTTTAGGGACCAAGTGCGTTCTGTAAGTTCAGGTGCCTTGGTTGCCTTGGTTATTTTGGGTTTTCTCTGTTTATTTGGTTCTGAACGAGGGCGTCTGGGCCGTTTTATAAGATTAGGTGACTGAACCCCTTCCTGTTTTTATTATGAGAGAATGAACTTGACAAAGGGCAGACCGTTTTGTAAGTTCAGGTGGTCTAGCCCAATGCCACGCACAACTTGGATCAGAAAGGAATGAATCAAGCAGAGAGTCAGACTGTTCTGTAAGTTCAGGTGGCCTGCCTCAAAGCCCGCACATGTTGGAACCCAAGGTTATAATTTGACTATATTTTACTATTATTCTATCTATGAACAAGCAAATCAAACCGTTCTATAAGTTTAGATGGTCTGACTATAGCATATCATAACCTGAAGAGAGTATAATTAAGAATATAAATGAAGGTAACCTGGGTCGACTGAGCATTGGTTCTAAGATGAATGGCTCAGTCATACGCTCGCTTTGAAGATTAATTTCAGAGATATATATATAACTTGGCTATTTAAACAGTTCAGGGCGACTAGAATGGTCTAGTCATATGCCCAAAGAAGAGAAATGTTGTTGTGCCCTATGTTTGTGTATACTTTGGCTAAGTTGGACTCATTCCATAAGTTTGGGTGGTCTGACTTTAGGCCTGGCTAAGGTAAGGTTCATTTCATAAGTTTTGGTGTTCTGACCTTATGCCTTATGTAAGCTGGGTATAAGGAACAGCCATTTCGTCAAAACGGACATATTATATTTTTTGAACGAAATCAAAACTGACTCTTTTTGTCAAAATCCGGTCGGAATTTTTTGCTCCAGGGGGTCCGCCGGACCCCCTACATATATCTGGTCTATGGTTGAGACCAGATTAAAAAAAAAAAAAAAAAAAAAAAAAATTGTATCTGGTCTCAACCATAGACCAGATACATGTAGAAGGTCCGGCGTTCCCAGAACGCCGGACCCCCAGGAGCAAAAAATTCCAACCGGATTTTGGCAAAAAAAATCAGTTTTGATTTCGTTCAAAAAATATAATATGTCCGTTTTGACGAAATGGCTGTTAAGGGATTAAATCGTTGAAAGGTCATGAACTATTGTTTGTTAAGGTTTACTTGAGATGATGAGAAATACTTACCTTTGTGGTTTGGCCTGCATGTGACTGAGTGCGATTACTACTTTAGTCTAAGTTTCAGTTGGTAGGTAGTTGTTTTAATTGCTCGCCACGTACTAGAGCGATAGGAGTTAGTTTCAATTCCTGCATTTTCTGAGCTAAGTTTATTTTACTTAGATCAAATTCTGCATTTTCTGGAAGCCTTTGTTATGCTTGGCTTTGTATAAATTTTGGTAAGCTACTTTCTCTACGGGGAGCGCTACCGAAATTTCTGCAAATCCAAGGAGTTAGTCAAATCCTAACTTTTCAAAGTTCAAGGCTTAGTAAAAATCTAGGAAGTCTCCTTTTCTAAAGGAAGTGCTGCCCAAATTTTTGCTAATTCAGGGAGTTAAACAAAATTGGACTTTGGGAAGTCGAAGACTACTTCTGTTCGCATATTTGGACGGGTATAAATTCTGAAAAGGCAATTTTCCTACGGGAAGCGCTCCGAAAATTTTCTTAGTTTAAAAGAGATATATTATATTTTGATAGATGGCGATTCTGGAAAATTCACTCTTTATAAAGGAAATTTTGTCAGCGTCTACCTTTGCTTTTGGCACTTGCTTAGAGGTAGATTTAGGCTTTGTTAATTAGAGAGATTTTGAGTGAGGTCATAATATGGGGATTATTCCCCAAGGACTTGTAGATGTAGCTTGGGAATTGGCCTGTCTTGTGTTACAGGTCCTCTTGATCGTTTCGATTCAGGATCTGGGATACATTAAGCTTGATCCTACGAGGATCATCTTCTGTTGTCACTGATAACAGGTCGGTTGCCGATCCGTCGGTTTACGACTCAATTCCAACTCACCCTCAATATTCAACCTAAAAGGCTTCACCCTCAATATTTTACTGTTTCATTAAGGTTTCAGCCGAACTTTTATTGAATGGTCATTTAACAAAGATGCTGAGTATTTAATTATGGTTGGTTGGCTGGAGGTTGGGGCTTGCATGGCTGAAGCGAGGGGGTATGAGTATAGAGATTGGTTGGGGATGACTCCGTGTAGTGCGTGGATCTTTATTGGACTCTTTGATGTGATTGCAGGTATGTTCTGGCATTCGGATTTTGGATTTGACTGCCTGCGATCACACATATACATATGGTTGTGAGAAACTCCACTGAGACTGTGAGAAGTGATCGTCACATACTTAACCCCCTTATATATATATATATGTGTGTACCTATGTTCAAGTTGGATGTTCGCGTGGCCTGAGGGGCCTCATACTAAAGGCCTAGTTAAGGGTTGGGATTGAGAAAAATAAAGAAGACCCTTCCTTTGTGTCCATTTGCTTCTTGAGGGTTCTTAGTCGGACGTTGGTCCTGGGTCGGGATTCAAGGTCCTTGTCCAGGACATCCCAAGCCCTAGACTCTGCAGGGAAGGAATCTGTCCCCGTGCAGAGCCTATTTGCCTTGTCTGCCAAGACACTCAAGCCAAAGGCCAGAGGTCTAGCGACGGCCGCACGGCTATTCCTTCAGCTGTGCAATATCGTGAGGGATTAGGCCATCACGATACTTCGAGTCTGACACTTGAGTGTCATGAGCGGTACTCGGATCCACGAGGGACCGCTTGATTATGGGCACTACATAGTACGCCATCATTACGACTGCTTGTGTACGCTGGCATTGCGAGTCGATATGAGTTAGTCCTATGTCCGCGTGGTTTCAGACTAACTCTCGCGCGCGAAGCCTATCCGACTCCGCATCGGAAAGTTATGGGATGGTTACAAAGGGGCTAGGAGAGTTGTCGCGTTGTTTGTGTTGTGTCGTTTCATGCGTACCGTTGTGTGTGAGTCTTATTTTTGTGTTCGTAGAGTGGTGTGTGCGTGGTGAGTGGGATACGTCCTAGTAGACCGACGACGGGCCGCGCTTGGGATTTCAGCCTCCCCAATGCGTCGGCTCGCGTGCGGGTCTGACAGCGCGTATTACCGCTCGAACCCCCTATGCTACAGCGAGCGAGAAACGCCCTCGGCTAGTCCACCTCTGCGATTGCAGCTGATCAGCTTCCAACTGTGGACTGATAGCTCGGCGGGGATACGCCCACCGAAGGGAGGTGACAACTTCCGTAAGGTGGAGGTAAGTCGTGCCTCGCGTAGGCCCTATCCTCTCGTAGGGGCTCGGGGGAGGTATGGCTGGCGCACTCGGTCGGAGCGGCTTGAGGAAGCTCCATGTATGTTTGCGACGAAGGATTTAAACCAACTCCTGCGTGACGCAGCCCGAAGGGTCCCGCGCTGGCCTGTGCGGTGCCGGACCGATGTGCTTGACAAGTGGCGCCGTTGCTGGGAACAACGGAAGCCTATTGTTGTCCCTGGTGGAACGACATCCGGGTACGGGAATGAGAGAGAATCATGCATGATTGGGTAGGCGATGAGTAATCTATATGGTGCCTTGCGTGGTTATGCGTAGGTAAGAATTGATTGTTAGTGATTCTGATTGGTAGTTTGAGTGATTGTGTGATTGGAAAGACTGTATGGGAAGTTTCATGTTAGGGGTAGACTCTATCAGGATAAGTCAGAGAATAGAGGTGGTTTATGTTAGACCAAGGGAACGTAGGAATGATGTAGGAGGTCTGATAGAAGCATGTCAAATCAGGTTGTTGAATGAAGCCTTATATTTCTTCCCTTAACAGGAAATCTGAGAAAGGAGCAGTCAGCCAAGATGTCGGGAGGCGGAGGCGCCGTTCCGAGAAAGGCCCAAACGCTCGACGATCTTGTCGAGGTCCTCGACAAGCGTGAGAGGGCGCCGAACAATGTTCCGAAAGTTGATACGTTCCATTTCAAAGGGGAACGGGTCTCCGATTGGCTGGATTTGGCTAAGCAGGCGCTGGTGGGACTGTCGGATGTAGTAAAGTTTCAGCGGATTCTGAGGTACGTCCTTCATGGACACCATCAGGAAGTGAGCAAGGTTGTGGATGCCGCCAATGGCAGTTGGGCAAGGTTCAAGGATGGTATGCAGAGGAAGTACAGGCTGGGAGATGGCCTGTTGACTACGGCCGATTTGGAGGCTATGAACAAAGATGACTTTACCACGATTGGGGTGTTCGAGCAGGAGTTCAAGAAGAAGGCGAGGAAGGTGCATGGGATTGTCGAAGAAGCACAATGCGCTATCTTTTTGGGTTTGCTCACTGCCTCAGAAGCTTCGGAGTTGACGAGCCATGGAAATAGAAGTGCGAAGCTCACCTTGGCTACTATCGACAAGGGAGTGAAGGATGGAAGCTTGGACCAGGTGGAACAACACCAGATGCGTCTGCAAAGGCGGAAGAGGAAGGAAAGGGACGCCACCGCATCTGGGACACCGGGGGTAAAGAGAATGGTCACGGACGTGCTGGCATAGTTAGGTTATGGCAACAAAGCTGAGGTGCAGAAAAAGGTGGTGACCGTGGTCCAAGGTCGGGTGTCAGGGGTGGTGGATGAGGAGGCCACGCACGAGGACTACGGAGGGGAGGAAACGGGCTCCCAGACCCTTACCAAGGCTCAACGCAAACAGCGCAACCTATTGATGGGCGGACAAGGCTCTGGAAAGGGGCAGGCTCCACAAACAGTTGTGGCGCCCCCGACCGCCGCCGCAAGTATGCCTATGATAGCGGGGCCCTCGCGGATGGGGCCACCGGCGGCATATGCGCAGTAGATGCCCTATTTCCCGATGGCGCCTTGGCCCCCGTATAATTAATGTAACTCATGGGGAGGGGGCCAAGTTCCCCCATGACCGATGGTCCCCTATTCAGGCCCGCCGGCGAGTGAGGGGCCGCCAAGCTTTCCAGCGGCCCAGGGTCAATTCGTGGTCCCACCTCCGCCCTCGCAGCAGGTGTCGCAGGCTAGCGTGGCCAGAGGAGGGAACCAAGGGCAAGGCGGGCAGGGTAATGGTGGCCGAGGCCAAGGAGGTCGAGGAGGCGGTGGCCGAGGCCAAGGAAAGAATGGTGGAGGTTACGGCGGTGGATGGAATGGCCAAGGGGGCCAGGACCAAGGAGGCCAAGGAGGCCAGGACCATGGGGGTCAAGGGTACGGAAAGCCCCGCTTCGATTGGAGGAATGCCATCTGTCGTCATTGTGGCTATCAGAGCCACACTATAGGGTTCTGCCAAGGGCGGCGGGACGACGAGGCCTCCGGGTTGATCTCCACCAACATGGATGGGGATATATACGATAAATTTGGAAAGTATATTGACCCAAAGACTCCAGGCGGAGTAAGGCAAGAGGCCCAGAGGCGGGCGGCGGCAGGGCCAGCACCCCCAGCGATGTTCAGAATGTGGCAGGAAAGAGAAGACCCAGCCGTAAGGGTCGAGGAAATTATGGGAGACAGCGAGGAAGTGACTCAGCGGCTAAAGGCAGGAACCGTACAGGAGGAACCAATAGTCGTCGAGTCAGATGACGAGGAGTTGGGAGAAGAAAGAGAATCGACCGTAACCATCTTGGAGAAGATGGAGGACTTGCTGGGGAAACCGGGTAGGTAGCAGCAGAAGCTACAGGGTTTGTGTGACGAGACCCGAGAGTGGGAGGCCAACCTCCCCGGAGTCTTCCTTTATGAGTCTGGGCCCGAATCATCGTCGGGGCAGCAGGGGTACCCAAGGGTTGCGACTGTGGGGTCGGGCCCTAGGTCGGGCATGACCTACAGGCCCCCCACGTCGCATGGAAGAGTGCCACAGGCAGCGTGGACCAGGAGCGAGAACAAGGCTGGAACCAGTCAAGAGCCTAGCCAGGCGCCTAGTCAGGCACCCCCTCGAAAGGAGCCTGAGCCCAGGCGCAGGAAAGAGGTAGTGGAAGTCCCGGAAGAGGGAGAGGAGGATGACGACGAGGAGGATGAGAGGCTCTAGCAAGAGGAGGACCAGCGGGCGGAGCTAAGGGCTAAGAAGAGAGGGGCTCAGGAGGAAGTTGAGCCTAGCCTGCCTGACAGCGTACCTAAGAGGAAGAAGTACGCAGTTCGGCTGGAAGAGGGTTTCGATGTGGAGCGGATGGTAGATAGGCTCCTGGAAGGTCATGATGACCTGATGAACTTAAAGGATATCATAGCATCAGCACCAAGGCTCCGTGATGGGCTGAAGGGGTGGCTCTCGCGAAGGTTGGTACCCAATGTCCATCAGAGTACGATCCTGACAAGGGAGGTAGAATGGATTGCCGCAGGGACAAGGATGGACTGGAAGTGTGTGGCATGTGGCCACGTGGATTTGGTGGTAAAAAACCAGAAATGTAGCGGGATGATGGATACGGGCGCGGAGATGAACATCATTAGGGAGAGGTAAGCAATGCTGTTGGGAATGGAGATTCACCGTTCAGACCATGATATGCTACATGGTGCCAACTGCAAGGCGGCCTTTTGTGGCACGGCGTCCAATGTGATTATAGAGATTAGGAAGGTACGAGCGATGTCGGCGCGAATACCCTTACAAGGGTATCCGCCCTGGTTTTTGCAAATGACAGAAAATAAGTTTGAAAGTTTGAGTATACCGCGCGAGTCGCGGCAGTCTCAGTTGTTTATGCGACCGATGGTTGACTAGAGTAGAGAGTGTGTGGGCACGCGGATTTTTGAGGCGCGCGTGATCTTCTTAATTGTTGATGACTGAAGAGTCGGCGTGAACGCCGACCAGAACTTTTTTCTGCTCATTAAATAGGGATTAAAGAGATTTTTTCTCATGATGGGTGTGCTTACCGGTGACTTGTGCGTACGTGCGGAGAACGGCATCGACAACGGGGAGACTTTGAAGTGTTTTCAGTAGACCCGCGCGTCGAGCAATATTGGTCTATTTAGGCGTTTGTCAAAGCCAAACCCAGATTTGGGCCTGACACTGTTGGTTACAGCGTCAGAGTTTTATTAGAGAGATTCAAGGATCGAGACTGAGCACCGATGACGCGAGGGTATCAGAGCAGCGCGAAGGGGCCGAGGGGTTGAGGGCCCGATGGGGCTATCCCCCTTGTGTTTGCTGGAGGTGGCGTTGGAACGCTACTAGCGGTTCCTTTTTCCTAAGTTCGACGTATTCTGACGATTAAAAATTTTTCTAAGTGTTTATCGTCGTTATCTTTATGCTCCGGCGCCCCTTGATGTAGACGCAACGTTGGATTTAGAGGCCACCACTGCGGTCGGGGGTCTCGAGTGCGCACCTCCCTTTGGCGAGCCCGTCCGGGTTCCGGCGTGTCGCGGGTTGGCGGAATTCCCCTGCCCCGCCCGTCTTGAGAGACGGACCGAAGAGGTCAAACGGGTGAAGAATGGTGAGGTCCGTAGTCGCGACCTCTCTCGCTTTCTACTTGGAGGGCATCAATAGTCTAAAATGGAAGGGAATTGAAGAAGACATTCCGAATGGGACTGTGGGGCGGCGGCCAGTGCGTGGCGAGGTTTGCCGCGGGTGCACTGTCCGCCAACCGAGAATCTGTTAAGAAAGGTGAGTGTGAGTATGCTTATGTGGCCCGGTGGACCGCATGGGTTCATAAGACACCACGCGGAAGCCGCAAGTGGTCGGCTGACTTACGCGGGACTCCTCTTCACTTCGGTCTCCAAAGTTCTCAYTGAAATTTTTGCTACTACTACCAAGATCCGCGTTAAGACCCGCCTCACCGAGGCTTATGTTGTGAGTCCCGCAGCAGGCCCGCGCTCTTTGTGTCGCAGTCTAATGTGAGAATGCCCATTGGTGGCCAAAAGGGAGGCCAAACCGGCCAGAGAAGAGCGGGACAGCGGGGTCTCCCTGCGTTACTGCTGCAATCGGCCCGTCGGGACTTGGGTATAGGGCCGGAATGCTATTGAACCGGAAAGGAGTCGGTTGCCTCCAGGGATTCCCTCAGGCTACCGAGCGTTGTCGGGAGGAGCGCTGTCTGGTCACCTCCGAGAATTCCCTCAGGGTAGTCACGGCTGCTGGGAACTAAGATGAGCCAACAGGTAGAGAGAATGCACTGGCGGAGCAGCGAGCGCAACGATAGGAAGGAAGCCTAGAATGAATCTGGACGATAGGTTGTGGCAAATACAGATACGATAAGGTCGGAGATGGTAGGGAAGCCAGGCAGGGCGCAGTCGGCCAGAGCTAGGGGAGAGAAAAGAACGGTAAGGCGGAAGGATGGCCGGCGGACAAAGCGGGTAAGGCAGGTGGCTGCAGACGAGGGGAGCCGGTAACACCAACAGAGGAAAGCGGAGGGCCGAACACAACACCAGATGGGAAGAACGGGGCGAAATGAACCCGGGCGCTAATTCGCGTCGGGTGCACTCACCGCATGGAGAAATGGTAATGGGCGGGGCGATGGGTTGGGCGCAGCCAGATGGCCATAGTTAGCTCGATCCACATCAGAATCGATCAAGAAAAGGTGGGAAATGGGGGAATTAGGACATGGTGAATTCGATGGTAGAGTTAGAATGGTAGGGGGACTAGTGTAGGAGGGGGAGAGAGAGAAATGGAGTGCGCTGGAGATGGTGGGAGAAGGAGTGACGGGGGTGGAGAAGCGAGATCTCCCTGGATTCCTGATGAAATCGAGTGGAAAAAGATAGTAGACGCAGGTTTTAGGCCGGCGCGAATATGATTCTGCAGTTAGTCTTAGCAGAAAGATGGTAGGTTAGAAGTTCGTACAAAAACAGGTTGCGCGAAGCTATGGAGGAGAGGTGAATGAAGAAAGCGGGAAAATCGAGATAATGCTCGATTCTTGATGGAATCGAGCAGGATAAAGGTTGGGATAGGAGTTTTGGGTGGGGCGATTTCAATGGAGTCGTTTGCTTCGGAGTTAGTGAAGTAGAATAAGAGTTAGTAAAAAAAGTGTTTGCGCGGGGCTATGGTGGAAAAAGGGTGGAGAGTGAGGTATTTGTATCTCGCTCGTGTCTGAGTGAAATCGAGCGAGAGAAGCTTAGTTTTAGAGGTTCTAGCGCGCCGCGAATCTAGGTCGTGCCCATCATTCTAGTGGGGAAAGATTCGAGTATAGGTGATAATTTTTTACGTGGTATCGAACCGAGGTTGCGCCCCAGTGAAAAGGGGGACTTGGAATAAGCGATGTATCTTTTCGCATTTAAGCGGAAGATACATTTAGGTCGTGCCCATCATTCTAGCAGTCGAACGGGCGGAAGATCCGTCGTGGGGTTGAAGACGTACCTGTCGGCTTGCTCGTCGCTCATCCCATCCCTGTTGGGCACTGTGACGCTAGCCCAATAGTGGGAGTGCAGGGGGCTCAGTGCTTGGTGGTCGTTGGGCAGGTTAAGTGAAGCCGCCCACCGCCCGTAGTTATTGGCCGGCTCGTTGTCCGCCCTTGAAGGAAGGCAACGCTTTTATCTCCTTTGAGCGTCTACCTGGCGGACGTCGATTCCTACGGGTACTCCAATGACGAAGGGAGAGTGAGGATCGATGAGGGGAGAACGGGCTTACCTGATCAAGCTGGCTTAGGTTTACGACAACGCAGCCCCACCGAGGAGTGCATAACAAGCGGCAGGGGCTGGAAGCTTGGTTGTTGGCTAGCGCCCCGCTCGTCAGAACGGAGAGGACTGGAAGTTGGGGGCTTACCTGTTAAACGGTGCGCACGTACACCGAGTGCCGGCAGGTAGAGGTGGAGGCGGATGAAAGCCGAACTGCGGTCGCTGAGCCGTTGGGCTGCCGAACAGCGAGTTGTCGAGCTGCTGGGCTGCTGAACTGCAGTTTGCTGAGCTGCTGTTGGTGAGCCGTCGACTTACAGGAGTGTTGCCAGCATGACTGTGCAAGCGGCCGTTCGCTGTTTCCTGCCGCTGAAGACCACCGTTGCGACTGTTGCCGTGCATTCCGGGTGTTGTGATGTCCGGTGTTGTGCTACTGCTGTGTGAGCCGGAGGTTGCGTCAACTATGCTCTTGTCTGCAGCGGTTGTGTGCTTGCTAGGAGTTGTTGTGGTTGTTGGACGACACTTTGYTAAACGCGTTGCGCCTACCGCAGGAGTGACTGCTGTGTGTGCAGGCTGCTATACCAGTCCTTTGTCCACTCTGGGGTTTTTTTCTTAGGTGCTCAGCGGTGTGTAGGGCGACTGCTCAGATAGGGTATGGAGGGGGGTGGTTAGGCTGCAAGGAAGGTTGCCACTGCGGCTTGGAGGAGTAAATGTGAAGGGGGGGGGGGGGTATTGCTACGATTTGGGAGTCTGTCAGGACAACCTGGTTCAACAGTTTGACTTCGAAAGTTGACCGACAGTTATGTTGGCCGCCATCGCGGGGCCCTCAGGCGCACGAAGTTTACAAGACCCTCTCCCGCGAGTTTGAGAGCACCCCTCTTGGATCTSAGAGTCTCAAATCCATCTTCTTCTACCCCTCTTACTCTAAGTCTGGTCCATTGGTCCTGAGAGGAAGGCGGCAGGCGGGATTGCAACCCGTAATCCGTGCCAAGGCCTCTGTGGGAGGTTCGCCCCACCGATYGYGGGAGCTCTGCCGAGACTCGGGAGGAGTTCTGGAGGCAGGGAATTGAAAGGTAATTGTTGYCTMCCCCTCTATAAACCCARRTATAACCCCTATCTATACATCTTTCTATAGTTGGTTGAGTGTGTTGTATATACCCCTACTTTGACTTTAGTTTGACTTTCAGGACATAAGTCAGACTAAGTAAAGGAATGCCTTTGCAATCTCA